CATTAATTAAATTAAAGCAACTATCTATATGAAGCTTAGAATGGCTCATGTTTAAACATAATAGACATTCGTTGTCTACCACTCGTCACTTCAGCCCCTCAACCTCCGGGGTCTTCCTCTTTGGGTTGAGGCACCCACTCGGTCTGAACCAAACCAGGGGTAGCTGGCCGCACACTCCTTGAGTACCCGTAGATTGTTCGACCAGTCACTGGCCAAGTTCCGCCTGCTGCCCACATTGTGTTAATTTTTAGATCCAGTAAGCGGGGTGTTGTCCATGTGTTCACGGTCGATTGTGGATGTAGGTATGGCTGTGAGGGTGAGCGGCAGGAAAATTAGAATGTGGCAAACAAGGAAATAATATCTGCAGAAGCCGAAGAATAATGGGTAAAATATTGATGTCTTTTATATAAGAAAACAACAACAACAACAGTAGAAAGAGTTTACAGAAAGGATAGAAAAGCAATTAACATAAGAAGAGAGGACCACTCCTCTACCAATTATACCAAGAGAGACAGGTGTGAGAATTACTCATTCCAAATCAACTTGGAAGGATATGTGACTCGTAATTCCAGCCCTACGTGGAAGTGTAGCTTTTCAGTTGGTTGTCGTAAGTGACAAATGTTAAGTTTCAGCGACTCTCATCTAATGCCCAAGTCTCCCCAACTCAGCAAAACCCGCGTTTATATAGCAAACCGAAGGTTATAAGCCAGGTTGTTCACGCGCTTAACACGAGTGTCGCCATAAGCGAAGTTTAAATTCAGATCTATTTCAAATCTCTTAGTGGATAAAATTAATTAGTTCAATGTTCGTTTCAATTGTCTTTTCGATGACCAAATTCAATGGATACAACTTATGTTTAGATCAGATTTTGCTAGTGGTAAACATACACTGATACACGGTCCAATTTACTTCAATATGTTTTCATCAAAAATATTATTTTTGTCTATTTTTTAATTTTTTTTTTTTAATGACCCAAATTAAACATCGCCTCCTGCCCTTTTGCATTTGTTTATAAACAAGTCCTTGCCAACCCGATTTGAAATTTATTCTTTATCCATCAGCCGTCTCAGGTTTCATATATCATTGTTCTAGATTCTTTCCTATTAATAGCGCTGACACAGTTTGTAACTTTCACGGAAGATCGTGTTTTCCATCTTCAATCAATAAACGTTATATTTGTGTGTGTGCATTCATGTGCGTCAACCTCTCTCTGTTACAGTTGTCTGTTATATTTAACAATATATATATATATATATATATATATATATATATAAATAAAATCTTGTATTAATTATAGGTTTATAAAAAATAATTATTAATTATTCAATATTAATTATAGGTTTATAAAAAAAATAATTATTAGTTATTCATTATTAATATAGGCTTATAAAACATAAATATTTTTTTTTTTTTAAATGGAATATTTATTTTAATTTGAAACTAACAGTTACTTTAGGTACCTCTACGAAATCGCTAAAAAAAGAGCATAGCTTGATGAAAAAGACGCCAACCTTGCCAAAAACAAAATTTTATTGTCTAAATGCTTATGTTATTATTAAGAGGAAAGACCAAAGTTTTTTTTTTAATTATTTTAAAAAAATTTTCCTTCTTTTTAGAACATTCTAAATGATGGCTTCGAGGAATGCAAATCATGTTTTTTTTTTTTTTTTTGTTTTTAATTGGATCTGCAGTACCAGAAAATCAGCTCTGAATTGTAACATACAAAACTCAATAAAACAAAGATATTATTTAATTTCAAATGCTTTTATTTGCTTTTAGTTGTTTTTATGAATATGGACAATATTTTCTGAAAGCAAAAATTTTTTTTCAATGAAAAACGTATTTTTAATACAATTATTTGTTATTTCTTTAATTATAATAGATTTTACATTTAAGTTGTTAAAATATTATAAAATTAGTTAAAAGCTGCATCGGCTTTCCTAAGTGTCCTTATGAGATAGATCTTTTTTAGCGCGTTGTAAATTGTATCATTTTGACTAATCAGACGATCCGCAGTAATTAAGAAATGTAATTTTGTGCTTATAACCGGGCTGTAATTATAAAGTATGGAAGACCAACCAGAATATAATTAAGTTGCGTTATTTGAGTTAAGCATTGTTCTCCGCTGTTAAGGCCTTTACTTTTGCGAAACACGTGTGGAGAAGTTAATTTGATTTTTCAATTTCAACTGAGAAGGGTACCTACAAGTATCAGTATCATCTTATGAAATTTATATGATCTTATTTTTATATTAATCTCAGTTATGACATTTTTCCATAAATGAAATATCAAAATTAATAATAAAATGAATGCAAATACAAATAACAGTAAAATGTAATAAATGTACATAAAATTATAGTATTTTATGTACAGTTCTGATAAAATTTCATAAGAAAGGTACCTATAAATTAATTAGATACCTTTCTTATGAAATTTAATCTCACTATTAACAGTCTTATTTTAATTTCTTTAGAATATATTTTCCATAAAGCATCATAAATGTAAAGGTGAAAGCTAAGTACAAAAAAAAAAAAAAATTAGACTGCTGAAAGATTTCGTTAAAAATAACGAGGTAAATAATTTGTTCACTTAAATGTAAATAATTTCACTTTTCTCCTTCCGTAGAACAAATTAGCCTCATGGAATTCGTAAATATATCATTCATCACCTGTCAAGAGATGTGAAAGTTTATGACCTGCTTTGTTTTATTTTCAAATTACATCTTTTTGGCACAAAATCTAAGTTAAGTTTGGTTCAAAATATTTTAAATAAACATTATAATTTCTGATTTTCTTAAAATAAGTTTTGAAAAAATGATAATTGATATTTAAAAGAATTTCAAAGTGAGATTTCAATTTTTTTTTTAAAATGGAAAAAAATGGTCAATTTTGCTGACTCAAAAAAAACTAGATTTTTAACGAAAATTTCAGACGTGCTAGGAATGATTAAAAAATGGAAAAAAATACCCCATAAATACTTTGATCTTTCCTCTTAATAATAACAAACATTTAGACGATAAAATTTTGTTTTCGTCAAGTTTGGCGTCTTTTTCATCATGCTATACTCTTTTTTTAGCGATCTCGTGGAGTTACCTAAGTTACTTGAATTCTCCATAGGCCTGCTCTTATTCTTGTTTGCTTTTGTAGAATTGTAAAAATTGTAGATGTTTTTTGTTTTATCAAAATTATTCTTATTAACTATAACACACAGGAGAGAGTGAGCTAATTATCCGGATTGTAATTTTTTTAATGCTTTTTCTAATGAAACGGCTCAAATCTAAATTTGATAAGTTTAACATTTCATGAACAAATGAATTAACACTTTCTGAATATTTTTAAGCAGCATTTCTTTTCAGGATATAAATAATCATGGTTCTCTCTGATTCCTTTGTTAATATCTAAACTGTGTATTGCCGTGATTGTTCTTGGAAAAAATGAAGTGGTTTCTTGTTGCCTTCTCCACAGCTTTGTATTCAGAAATGTCTTTCTTCTAGTCCTATTAACAAGCAACAGCCCAATCTATTTAACAGTTTGGGGAAAGTAGAGTTATGCTTTTCCCAATGCCATTAGTGCAAATTGCAAACTCTCCCAACTAGAATTTGAACTCATTTTGCCAATTCCATTTGTATGTTGTTAATCCACTGCACTTCCTTTTTGTAGCTTATAGATTTTCTAAATCTCAATTTGAATTTTATATTCCACCTGTTAAGATGAATAAAAGGAAATCAAGCATATGTTATAAAAATAGTACTATAAAAATGTTGTATTTGATAGTTCCTTTGAAGACATTGTACACAGAAAGTATGTCATCCTTTTTATGTGTTTTTAATAGAGGAATCACACCTGACAATTCTTCTAATGTCTGATACTCTTTCTCACCCACCCACACATTTTCTCTCTCGTGTGCGGATGCAGATGACATCATAAATCAGAACTGCATATCTAAGTTAACCTAAGTCATGTGTAAAGGGTGTGTTTTTTTAACATTGTAATTAGCATTTAGTATAGGATGGTCTTTCACATTAAAATAATGTCTGGAAAAAAAGTGTTTAAAATTAGGTCTTTAATCATTAAAAAGTTAATTTGATATCAAATGAGTAAAGCATTTATGGTTAGAGTTTTAGCTTCATTAAATTGTAAAATAAAAATCTAACTAAAGAGATTTTCTCAAATTTATAACAATCAGATTTAAATAAGTTACTTTTTTTCATCTACAGAATTTCACATAAAAATGAATAACTTCTTATTAACAGAAAAAATGTTTCTCCATTTCTAACTATACAGAAAATAATTTGGTATGTTATCTTTGACAGTTATGATTTAAAAAAAAAAGAACAAAAATTTTATTGGAAATAGTACCATTAGTTGAATAGTAGTTAAAAGGTTTAAATGAATTTTTGAAGGTAATGGTGAAATTGAAACATGTGACAACATACAGTATATTAACATTTTAATAGTAATTATTTTTAGAATTTTCTTGAAGAAAAATAGTAAATTCACACACAAATGTTGATTTCTTCAAGTCTATTTTATTTGAATATTAGTTATTACACATGAAAAAATTCATGGTTATGGACATATTTGAATAAATGTGAGATTACTTCTTTTTTTTCTTGAAGAAATGAAACACATTTACATATATTTATTCATTAGTATCATTTATTTTTTTTAATTTAGAAAATTAAAAAAATTTTTTTAATTCTTTTAATCATAACATGACATTTGCTTGCTTAGAGTAGAAACCAAACATGTCTCCTGTTACCATAAAAACAAACTTTTATTACTTCATTATTTTTTAAAATTTCTCTTATAGTAGCCCAACAATTACTCATTTTGAGTTGTACCCAATATACCTTGTGTTGCTTTAGTATAATTTTTTCATTAAATAGTAGTGACACTAAGTTGCTGGTTAATGAGTCTATTGTTGTGGATAGAAAAACATTAAAAAAAAAAGTCACACTGTTCATTATTTTATGTTTGTTTTTTTTTTTTTCTCTTAAGGTTTTGGGAGATGCTTAGTATACAAGAAGCAAAGCTGCACTCTGAAAAGATATGCAAATCAAACATTTGAAAAAGTAATGGGTCCTCTTTTGGATGCAACCACTCGTAAACCAATTTGGAGACATGAAGCCTTGGATTCTGATGGCATTGCAGCACCAGGTTTGTTGGCCTATTACCTGATATAATTTTATTGAACTCCTTTTCTTAGATTTATATTTTACAGTCACTTATTTTGAAAAATTATTGTTTTTACTTGATGGATTACAAAAATATCTGAAACAATATCAGATCTGAATTAACTCCTCACTTAATACAAAAAGATACCTTACAAATCATTTAAATTTTAATAGTACTTTCAGAAATTATCATTTTGCAAGATTCTATTGTACATTCAGTTCCCAGAGTTAATATTTTCTTCAAGGATGCAACTTCTCAGAGTGAGGCAATCATAGGAGACATGGAAGTTCTACCAGGATTTATTAATGGTGGACATAATCATAAAAAAAGTTATCAGAGGACACAGAAAACTGATCAATGTTTAACCTTCATGCTTGCAAAAAAAACAAAAAAAAACAGTGTGTCAAAAAAGACAGTTATTCCCTTGACACTATTATTATTGTATATATTTTTGTCTCCCCTGCAATATTTATTTACAAGTGTATAAAAATATGTGAACCAAGTACAATGTAATATTTATTATTTACTGTTTATAAAGATTTATTTTCCATTTTATAAATATGAAAAATCTTTTTATTAAAAAAATTTATAAAGAATTACAAAATTATCAAAATATATAAAGCAACTACAATATTTACCATTTCATAAATAACAATGAAAACAAGTTTTTTTTATTCAATCTAATAAAGTGTTTAATATCTTTGTTCTCATTCTCAAGAATAAAGAAAATGTATAAATTCATTTTCATATATTTGTGTTTTATTAAAATTCTAATCATCACTTTTCTAAGGGAGTTAAGAGTTTACAGTAATAATAGCAGTATCAATCTATATTTCTGAGATGAGGTATTGTAACTATTTACATTATTCAGACTATTGTCCTCATCTTTACTGTTAAATAAAGAGTTTAGTTCAAAATTCCAAGAAATATCACCTGAAGATAGCTGGAGCATTCAATGACTGAAATGTCACAAATATGGCAATAAAAATGAGGACAACAGTCCAAATAGTGTAAATAGTAATAGCAGTGTCAAGGGAATAACCATCCTTTTTTACACACCATTTTTTGTGGCCATGAAAGTTAAACATTGTCAAAAACTGCAAGAATTCCTAGACAAGGTAGAAAAGGAAAAGAGGTAGGAAGGACTAAGCATCAATTGTAAGAAGACAGAATGTTTGGTTGTTAACAAGAGGAAGAGGCCAAGTAAAGGAAAGAGAGAAGAAAGGACTAAGCATCAATTGTAAGAAGACAGAATGTTTGGTTGTCAGCAAGAAGAACAGCTCAAGATGCAAACTATGAATTGGAAACCTCAAACTTAAAGAAATACATAAATTTAACAATCAGAAAATTGTTTATAACAGATGATAGAAATTGTGACACAGAAATCCAAAGGTTCATTGGAATAGCAAAAGATGTTTTCCAAAAGCTAAGCAAAGTATTAAGAAACAGAAATTTCTTTCAGAAACAAAGGAAAGAGTGTTGAACAGCTGTATAATATCAATTCTCCCTATATGGCAGTGAATGCTGGACAATCTCCTCACAGAAGAAGTTTATGCAACAGTGATGTGGTTCTATAGAAGTATGTTGCAAATACCATGGACAGAGCATGTGAACAAGGTTTTTAAGGAAAATAGGAACAAAAAGGTGTTAGGGATAGTAGAAATTTTGAGGATGCATAGTGATGAAAGTGAACTTGGAGAATTTAACACTTTCAGAACATATTGCAAAGAAGAGGGAAAGAGTGAGTAACCAACCGAAAGAGCTTGTGTAAATGAATGGCAGAACATAGAAATGGAAGAGAAAGTAAAAAGACAGCTACAAAAGTTTTGGAGAACCATGATCACTTATATCCTGAATGGATACACCACATAAAAGATAGCCTGAAATAAACTGATGTTGTCGCTTAGCACCAAAATGTAATGGAAGATTGGGACATTTTTATATACTAATGTTCATCCAATAAAAGCTCCAAGAGCCACTCAAGGTAGTGAGTTACTGTGTGGTGTTGTATAAGCATAAGAAAAAGCAAGAAGTGCAGTTATTGGGGTTATGCAGGAAAGACAATGGTTAACTCTGGACTTGAAGAGGCCAAGATTGTAGTGATTGGGAAAACATCCCACAGGGAGTCTGTTTCACAAAGCAAGAGTTCTTCGGAAGAAGCTGTCTGAGTGGAACTTCTTATTAATGGAATACAAAAGGAATGATGATGATTCATCCTCGTGTACATGGCACAGTAGGCCCCAGTTGTAAAGTTCAAGGGTGGTGAGATTAGGGAATGTAGCTCATCAGAACACATGCCATGAGAATAGTGATAAAGCAAGAAGAGGTTTGCAACTTTTTGTCTGTGAGAATGGTATTGTAGGGTGGGAAATAATTCATCACCCACAAGGCTGCATAGACGCCTTTGTCAAGACAGGCAAGTGAGAACTGGGCAGCTTCAGCACAGATATATCAGCAATAATCTATTTTTGTTCTGACACTTGTAAAGGTAGACTATAGCAAAGGGGGATTTGTAGGCTATTTTTAAAATGTTCAGTTTAGCAGTAATTATTTTGCTATCCATCACAGTCATTGATTCATTCATCTTAAACAATGTGTCATCCACCCAAAAACGAATGTAAGACTGCCTTGCAATGTAATGCTCTCAGTTTAAACTGGAGAACTTGGAATTTCTTGAAATAGAACTGGACATGGTTTTGCTCAGTCATAGCACAAATCCAGAATATTAAATAATCCAAACATAATTTTCCAAAATAATTTATTGGTATCACTATAGAAAGACATTTTTCTTGTTTTTGAATAAAAATTGTTAAATTGTTGATCTGTAGATGTAATAGCTTATATTTGTGAAATGATATTGGGTAAAGAAAAGAATAATGATGACGAAGACTTTTTTCTTTTCTTTTTCTTTTTCTTTTGTGCATGCCTAAGTGAGCAATTTTTTTAAACACTGTATGCTGAATATGTACTTTGCCAAAGCTGTTTTACTTTGAAAATATGTCACTAAAAATTGCTAAATTTTACAATTCTTAAATAACACAATTCAACATTCATATTGTTGGCATATGTTCTACAAGAAAGCACGACTTCTTGATATGAGGAAAAATCCTTTTGCTTGACTGAATATCATCAACTCATATTCTTTTAAATTCATTGTACATACTTTATAAACAAAGTTTTGTAATCTATAAATAAATGATAAATAAACAAATGAATACTTGTATACTTTAATTTCTAAATCACACACACACACACACACACACACACACACACATATATATATAAAATGTGTAAATTTTCTTTTCATTTTTTGTTTGGAAGTAAAGTCTGATGATCCACAGTCCTTTAAAAGGGCTGTGGTGAAATAATTTATTACATGGAACCTTAAAGTGGTCTGTTTTTATTTAAATTATTTGCTCTGGATTTACATTGAGCTCTCTGGATTTTATCCTCCTTAGGTTTACCCATACGGATTACCTAGTTTTTCATAAACTAGCAAGTATTTATCCAAACAAGTTGATTTTAAAAGGAGCTGTTATAGCTTGATAAAAAAAAATTAAACAGACAAGCCTAGTCGGTCATGTGTGTTGATCTTTTTCATAAATTATTTTTTCTTTTATGATGGAAATATACAAACAACATTCATCTTGTGAATGTCTTGTATGCAGAATAGATGGGCTTGGCCACTTATTTAAATTTGAATTTATTTTTTCTCTCAACTTTTCCACTGTTGTTCCTGACCTTCTTGTCTGTTTTATTTTTCACTTCATTTCAACCTGTCTTTTTATTCCAACCTCTTTATATTCTGAAAATAAGTTAATTTTGAATATGTATGCACTATAAATATGCAGAATATTTTACATAATGCACATGAATTATAACTGTCATTCTTATGATGTAGCAACAGTTTCAGATTTTCCAAGTCTCACATTATTAGCCATGTTACTGAAACTCCAAGAAACATTATGTTGTAATTTAATATTGATTTAATAAATTGCATCCTAATAAAAAAGGACATGATTTATTACATAGAAAATACTTAGAAGGAATCCTGATAAATATTTTCTCATTAATAAACACATGCCAAACACACTTGGTTATATCACCTTTATAAAATCTATACTTAAAGAATCTAAGATCAGTCTACCTACAACCGCAACCAGCATAACATAAATCCTTTCACTCCGACACAAAACATCCCCTAATCAATATACAGACACTACTAGACAGAAATAAAATACCCACCAGTTGCACACACACACACATATTATCAACCAAATTCTGTATAGAACAATTATAATTATGATACCCAAACACACAAGAATTATTCACATGAACATAACCTGTAAAAACAAATTCATGTGAGTAGACTTAACCAATGAAAAATAAACAATACAAAAATAAAATATACCAGAATTTTCTTTTCTCCTCCATAATTCATTTCTGATGAAGCTTAAATAAAAGCGAAACATGTTAAATTTATAAACATTTTCTATTTGTTCCTTATCCTATCATTATGCTGTAAGTAAAAACTTCTAATTACAGAATGTATGCAAAGTTTACAAAGGTAAATGTGAAATGTGTGTTCTACGTTTTGAAACAAGTCTTAAAAGTCATTTATCCATTGATTTTTGTGAGCCATTGTATTTCTTTGTATAACACAGACTGTATTGCATCGAGAATAGCATTCATCTTTCCTGGCAAATTACCAGCTGCCAAGTTTGCAATTGTGTCAGGTGAACAAGCTTATTACTTCATCAAATGAGTTTCAGTGAAAACCAGTTTTATTCATCTCTTCATTAATTTCCATTGAATGTGTTGTACATAAAAAAAAAAAAATTCTTTCTGGACCATGGCTCCAGAATCAATGAGCTGTCATCTTAAAATCATTTAAAAATCACCACGGACTGACTACTTTCCCATCTATAATTCCAGCCCAAAACATCATGTCACCTCTGCCTTGTTGACACTTTAATCTGTTTTCTTTTTGGTTCAGCCATTAACTTCTCAGCCTTTATTTTATCTGTCTGGTCCATTGAGAGTAGCACAGCATTTATTAGTGAAAAGAATAGTTGAAAAATTGTTATTCATGCATTCTATTGATCATTTCATTTTGCTTTTTCATATGTAGGACAGTTAAAAGCAGTTTAGACTGCAATAACTTGTGCTTTTCAAGACTTTGTTGCTGTTACAATACCTAAAAATGTCATAGCTTGATAAAGATGGAAATTTTAAATAAATTCTTGATATAGGACACCTGTCAGTGAGTTATTCCTCAAGTTGCCCTCATCAGAACCACACTGGAGTCATCTATGATCTTGAACAAATTTCTTCAGTTTAGGGATACTTGTTGATCATTTTGGCAATTCCCACTGTTATTTTATCTTTTGTGACCTCTGAACTTATTAAACATGTCTCAAATTTGGGACATGGATCTTAATTTGAGATTTTAAAATTCAAGGCATTTTATGCAAATGGTTGCCATTTCTTTATATGTGCACAAAACAAACCAGTTTTCCTTCTGATTGTGCAGATATCACTATCATTCATTAAATAAACTTTTACATTCCAGTAAATATTTATAAATGATGAAACATAATAACGGCTAATAATGTGAGATGCAGTGATACCTAACTATCCAATCACACTTAAATATTCCTTTTGAAAAAATATTATTTTATATATTGAGCAAATATTTGTTTTTGCAAGATACTTTCTACATTTCATTCTAAACAGCTATTTTTCTTGCTACAACTAAATTAGTTTGTTTTTTTGTTTAATCATTTCATCTCCAAGCAAGGTAATAAAGCCACTAAAATGCAAAGAGTTACTGAATGTGAGAGAATATGAGAAAAAAAATCATTAAGGAGAGAGAAAAATAAAAGAATATTGTTATATAAATATTAAAATATATATATATATGAATTATAAGTGTATTGTTTAAACAATAACCTCAATTATAATGGTTATGAGAAAGTTCACATTTTAAACAATGTCACTTCCTTAATTATTTTTCCAAAGAAATAAGTGATTTATCTAAGCAGATTTTACACATGATAGAAGATTTTCTCAAAAGCCCTTCCATGTCTATAAAAACAGTATTATTCATAATCTAAGTAAATGAGTCATTCAAGCAATGACTATCAAAATTTTGAGTAAATAATTCATTATACATTCTTACAGGTGAAATGGTTTCCAATAAGCAGGTAATGGTGAACAAATACATGCCCACGGTAACTATGAATACATTACAATCCACTCCAGGGCAGGCACCCCAGCAACCAGAATACAGAGATGTACCTGTGATGTAAGTCAAGTTTTTATATTACCAGTTTTAATTTTGGAAAGACTCTATAAATGTTTTGGATGTAAAATGTTAGTTCCAATCCTGTTAAGAATGACTGCAAAAATTTCCCCCTTCCCAAATTTATAGACAAAACATAATGATGCATGCTGGAATTTCTTTCTAGCTAATAAGTTTCTCAGTTTCATTTGCCATATTTCTATATTTCCTTGTCTTGAACTCATAACACTGTGATTACTTGCCTGTATCCATTTTATGTGTTAATATCATTCTTTGTGAACTTTTGCCTTATTACTATTGCTTTGCCTACTTTTGTCTGGCATATATATTGTTTACTTAGTATTATTCTTGCCCTGCTCTTTTCTTTTGTTATTGCTTATTGCAAACTTTGTCAATTCTGTTGGCCATTTCTACTAATTACAATTAACCATGCCCAGTTACTCTACAAACAAAAATTTACTCTTGTCTTAATAGTAAGTTTGATCAGTTCAATAGGGTCAAATTGGCAACTGATCTAAAAATAATCTACATTCTTTTGTTAACTGGGGTAAGGAATGACTTGTTAATTTTAACACCTCCAGAACGAAATTGCTCTCTCTTAATCATCTGAGAGAACCCTTTCTGCCTTCCATCAGCACGGCTAATGCTAATCTCCAGGAGAGTGACTTTTGTGCCTTGTCAGGTTAATGTTTTCCACTTACATGAAGTGAAAAAAATTATATTGAATCAATTGCTAGGTCTGCTGCTAGGAAAGTTGATTCACTGTGTTGTGCTAGACAATTTGTCTCTCCAGGATCTATCTGACATATTTATAAGTCTACCATTTGTAAATGCTTTGAATATTGATACACATATGGTCTGGTGCTCCTGCTGTATATTTAGAGATTTTTGATAAAATCTAAAGAATCATCTGCAATGTTATTGGTCCTGACCTGGCATCTTGGCTTCAGTCACTTTCTCATTGCTGTAATATAGGCCTTTCCTGTACCTTTTCTATAAATACATTCATGGTAATTGTTCTGGTGGTACCTAGACTCTATAAATTTAAGCGCAGTACTAAATTGGTAGCAAAATCACATCATTTTACAGTTGAAACAGCTAAATGTAACCATCATAAGTTCCATGCTAACAGTTTCTTACGCTTCTCATTTGTGGAACTCTCTTCCAGCTTCTTGCTTTCCAATCAACTGTGATCTTCAAAAGTTCAATCACTATCTTCTGTCTTAATTTCTGTTCTTTTGTTGTTCTCTCTCCTTAATAATATTTTTCTTTTTCTTATATTCTTTCACTCTCAGTACCCCCCCACATCTTAGTGGCTTTGTTGCCTTACTTGGGGTGAAATGATTTATAAAAATAAAAAGCATCAGAACATTCTAAATTTTATTTCATCCCTTGAAAGCTAATATATTTATTAAACTCTAGTTAGTCTAGAACATGATTATATAAGATCAAATTGGGGTGGGTAGGAAGATTGTGTTGTGTTAGTCTTCTAAATCAGAGCGACCTACCTGCCCTGAAAATCGGCATTTGAAGTCCCGGTTATTATTTGACATCAGTCATAGATTCCTGACACCTAACTAAACATCAAGAAGTATATAAAATATATATGTGTGTGTACTGTATGGAAATCAGTTGTGTTTTTTCTATTAATTTCAAATTTTGTTTTAAAATTGAAAAGCCTGACAGAAAATTTAACTGGAAATGTTCCATCATAAAATTGAGTGGGCAGACTTATTAAAGATAACAAAATTATATCAATAAGAGTTGATCTGTTTTAATTTAAATTATATAAATGAATATTTTGGAATTTCTACAGAAGTAGTAGAGCTGCAATGTTTAAGTAGCAAAATATTTCTTTCTATTGACAATTTCGATTCACTTTACAATCTTCAAATATAAAATTACTACCAATAGTTTTAATAAATTTAGCTAATTTGTTGCAATAGAGATATTTAGGTTAGATGTTCCGATTCAAATATCAATTTGAGCTTAGAGAATATTCTAGACTCATTGCTTAATGGTCAGCTTTTGCTATAACTAATGCTTTATTTATTAAACCAGTTATTTTTGTTTTTTTTTTTGTATTTGCAGTTTAGTTTCATAGGTTTATGATGAAATTTTGCAGCTAATTATTGGAATATGTAAATCAAAATTTGTTAAAAATCAGCTTGAGTATATTATATATATATATATCCTTTTAAATGCTGTAATATCTTCTAGGTAAAAGGTTTTCATGTTTTCTGAGGGTTGCTTTAGCTTAATCGGACTCATAATCACAATTGATAAGTAATAGCCTGCTATCTTGTTAATCATTGTTCCATGTCAAATGTTTCTTCTTAATGTTAAAAAAGCAGTAGGATTATAATCACTTGCTAATGTCTATCATTTCCTTATCAGATTGAAAGACTTTAATGTATAAATATTTGTGACAAGACTCAAACTTAAGTCCATATTTTTCTTTATGTGCTTAGTGATGGAAATAACAAGTATATTACATGCCTCTCTATTCTAACTATTTCCAAATACTCAGTCCTTTCATAAAAATTTGGCAATTATTTCAGTTACATGCATTTGAACTCTGAAATGCCCCTCTCTAATATATTTGTGGTTTTATTTCTGCCCTAAACTAATGTGATAAAAAAGAGAAGAAATTCCTCAAATTTTGATAATAAACATCTTCATATAATGTATTACATATAAAGAGCAAGAAAGAGTCATGCCTCAGCTACTGATGGTGAGGACATATCATCTCTTATGGCTGTACATGCGAGTGACAATCTCAATTGCAATGAAAAAAATAGATGCTCTCTTCTAATGTCATGTTGTTTTCTTTCCTTTAAGCATGTTTCATCTCAACAGCAAAGCCTCTGTTTCTTCTCTCCTCACTCCAGCCCTCAATGTAAATTGTGTTTCCAGCATGAGCAATTGTTGGGGATGTCTTCCCCACCACTTGATGTCCATGTCCATCACTTACATGTCACTTTTGCATATGTCCTTGAAGTGAACATGAGGTTGCCCAAAGTCCTCTTGCCAGTGGCCAGTTCCCCCTGACAGAATGACTTTCAGAATCTTCCCATCTGTTGCCTCCCATGTTTTGCCATTGCAGTGAGGTGATGCAAGTGTTTCCTCTCCAGGACATAGGCCTAGGCAGTGTTTTATGAGAGATCATAGTTGCTCATGCAACAGGTCTCCTCTCTCCATGCCACTAATGTTCAAGGGAAAGGTAGAATCCAATACAGCTTGGCACCATTGTCATCGCAGGAGTTGCCAGAATGAAGTTGAACATAACATCGCACTGTCTTAAGGACTCCGGCTTCAGATTTGTCCCCACAGTTTACTCCAGAAGCCTTTCCCATGATTGGGTATAGCAGGTTTAAAATATAAGAGGTTTAAAATCAGTTTTCTTTGTCTTGGACTATCCTCCCAAGCTGATGAGTTCCATCTTCCCGAAATGTTGCTTCCTATGTTTTGCCATTCCTGTGAAGCGATGTCCTCTTTAGGGTGCAGGCATGTACAGGGAAAACATAACCACATAACTTATATATTTTCTTATTTGTGGAATTGAACTAGAAACTTCTTTGGAGAAAAATGAATTTTAAATTCATTCTATTTAGTAATTTTCTGTTATAAATTTTTGTTTATATTTTTATTTTGAAGAATATTAACAATAATTTGGAAAATGTAAATTAAACACTGTAGATTGTTTTTTTGTTTTTGTTTTTTTAATTATAAGTAATGTATGATTATAATCTTAAGTTTTACTAAATATTACTTTTCATAAAATGCTCATAAGTACACTGACATGTACAGATTTTATTATAGATACTAACTCACTTACCTCCAATTATAGTTTATCAATTTGCATGCTCATACACCAATATCCTTCAAGCTACTTTTTTTTTCTTTTTTTTTTTAGTGTCTATTAGTCTTCAATGGTGATCCTTTCTTTACATTATTCATTTACCCACTCCACCATCATTTGCCAAACATACTGCCACCTGGTGCAACTGTTACAAGGGAGGCTATGGTGACATTTAAAATTACAAACATTACAAACCAAAAATATACAAATACATTTGTTATATTGTAAGATTAGAGAATTTATATTTTTGTTGAAGTTAGTTATAAGTCATTCTGTTCAGTGCAGTAATAAATCTCCTTGGTTTTATTATTCGTTTTTTTTTTCTCCCACCGCTTTTTACTTACAGTTACAGAGGTCCTGTGCCATCTTATATTGAAAAAGTAATGATTTCTTCCAACACAGAAGAATCATTTCTCATTAAATTACTTCTTCGTCAGACACGCAGACCAGAGCTTGGAGACAAATTCAGCAGTCGACATGGGCAGAAAGGGTAAGTGTTCTTTTTTTTCTTTTAACTTTTTGCATTGAAGTTCCTACAAAAGTAAAGGCATAAATTTTGATAGTTTGTTTAGTCAGATACTGTATTTTCTTGTGCATAATACAAGAAATCTTGAACAAAAATTATAGGTAAAAAAGTGGGGAATCATATTATACACAAATACACATTTTCAGAAATTTTTGTTCCGCTTAAAAAAACCTCTTATTTAAAACAGCAAGATTGCAAGCACACTCAGTACAATAGATAATTAAACACAAAGTAGGCAGGTGTTGATAATAATTGTTTCCAAAAGGTATTCAACAATATGTTTCTCTCTTTATTCATAATGAAAGACAATATTTTTTGATTTTCATAGTTTATTAATATATAGAAATATAATAGTCATATGAAACAGAAAAGTATGATAGATTAATTAATATCTGAAAATGTATTACCGTATATGTCTAGTTAGCACCTTTCCCCCAAAAATTCAAAAATAAGTTTTGAAAAGGGAATTTGAAGAAACATGCAATGGCTAAATGTATAGTTCATTTCTATTCTTTAATATCATGAAAAAATTAAATATTTTAGTGAAATATATATATATGAAATTCACATTTTAATGGATAATATGGTACAATTTAGAAAAAAAATTTCATAATAATGACTGTATTATGTGGTCATAGTATACCTCAAGGATGTAATTTATTCAGTGTTTTAGCTTCAAAAACACCGGATTGTATAATACACAAGAAAATACAGTGTGTGTATTATATATATATATATATTATTTTTTTTTTTTTTTTTTTTTTTTTAATCATTTTGCTCCAAACAAGGTAGTAAAGCCACTAAGACACAAAGAGGTTACTGAATGTGAAAGAATAAGAAAAAAGAGAAACATTATTAAGGAGCAAAAACAAAAGAAACAGAATCAAGAAGACAATGCATAATGATTGATATTGCATTTAAATTTTTGAAAATCAAATTTTGCTGGAAAGCAAAGAGCAAAAGCTGGTTCCACAGGTGAGAAGTGCAAGGGAAGAAACTGCTAACATACAACTTACGGTTGCATCTCACCAATTCAACTGTAAATTGATGAGACCTTGTTGCCAATCTAGTACTGTGCTTAAATTTATAAAGTCTAGATGCCATAGAGGAAAGTTCATCAGAACAATTACCATGAAAATATTCATAGAAAAGGCACAGGGAAGTTACATTACAGTGGTGGGAAAGTGTGAGCAAATAGTTGTGTCATCAGCATAGATACAAAGTTGAGAACTGATGTGAGGACTGATGATCAGGAAGGTCACTGATAAAAATTAGGAACTGAGTAAATCTGAGGATAGATCCATGGTGGACAACTGCATTTATTGCAAAAATATCTAGAAGAATTCAAGATAACTTTCATTTTGCAATTTGATAAGTTCAAAAATTCATCCAGGAATACCATAACCTTTCAACTTAAGAAGAGCGGTATATCAAACCCTGTGAAATGCTTTTGAGATGTCCAAAGCATCACTGAGCTTCACCATTCTTATCTAAAGCTTGATGGACTCTTTCAGCAATAATTGTTAATACATTAGTGGTTGGCCTAGAGAAGCGAAAGCCATATTGCTTGTCTGAAAGAAGGCCCTGTGATGTGAGATGCTTAACCAATTCAAGAGTTGAATAGGGCCTCTAGTAACTTGCCAAAAAGAGGTAGAAGGTTAATAGGCCAATAGTTAGAAGGATAAGAATAGAACTGCAGAAGAGCATTTCCAACAAACAGGAAAACAAGAGGCAGCCAGACATTTAGCGAAAAGTTTAGAGAGAACAGGAACCAGTTCAAGAGCATGTTTCTTAAGGACTATTGCAGGCCCACATGCTTTGTGGGGATCCAGATTAGAGATAACAGCAGATACAGTAGGATTTGTATGCATATCACTGAACAAGGACTCAGCTCTAAGTGGAAAGTCATGTAAGAATACTTCAGATGAATTTGAAGAGAATTTGCAAGCAAAACATTCTGCTTTATCAGTAGATGTTAACATCTCAAATTGAGAGGAGGAATAAAAGATATATATTTCCATTGTGCATTCATGTTCTTATTTCCCGTGTACTTGACAAGTACAGTTCAATAAAAAATAAAAGAAAACAGAAGATGCTATTTAAAACTACCTAGAAATATTTATTTTGATTATTGTTTTTGAGTGACAGCTGCAACAATCTGCTGACCTCACAACTCATTCATTGTTAGAGATCCTGAGTACCCATGTAGGTTAAAGATTTGCCTACCTTATTAACACAGGCTACCCATCTCTTGATATTATTAATTTTATTGTTGAAAAGTAATGTACAAAAAATAGTGCAAGAAAATTTGAAATATTGCCAATTCTTAACTTCCATATTCTCTTATCTGTAGAGTTAAACTAGAAACTTCTTTGTAAAGCAATGAATTTTAAGCTTCTTCTAATAAAAAAAAAATGTCTACTGGCAAATAATCAACCAATGAGAAAGAAATTTGACAATGAAAAAAAGAAAATGGCTTCTAGCAAGAACAAATCCGTTTTCATAAAGGTTCCCTATTAATGCTATGAATGTGCTTAAAATTATTGGGAAAATTAGATTTAATATTTTGCTATCTTCTATCAGTACAGCTGATGTATGTATAGCTGAGATATTTTGTTCGGTATAAATATCGCAATAGATCTATAATTATAGAGACTAATAATGTTGGTTATCTTAATATCAAAAAATATTATTAGATGACAAATGGCATAGAAAGTTTGTTAAAAGTTTTGCATCAATAATGTTCTGAACTTTTGTCAATAAAGAAACTTAGAAAGTATTTATAGTTTAGTCAAATGATGTCACAATCTCTTGATAGTGAATTTTCAGTCTTTATTGGATGCTTTAATCATTTTTCCTTAGACTAGAAATGAGAAATGTTGTGGGGTACTAACTTACTCCCCCTATAAAGGACAATAACTCAAAATACAATAGAGTTGTTTCCATTGTCTGCTATTCAGAGTGAGCACTACTGAATCCAACATGGTGACAAGCTGACACACATGTGGAATTCATGGTTTAAATCCAATCTGGTCCTTGCTGTTCTCAGGCAGTAAATGAATAAAAGTTATTTTATTATACGTTAAAATATACTTGTCTTTTATTTTCATTCATTTTTGTTCATTTCAACAACCAGGGATATAATAAGAGAAATTGAAACTTTACATGAACTTATATATACATATTTGTGTGTGTACACATGTATATAATCTTCAGTATTTTCTTTGCATTTTTTTATGCTAATATAACTTCAAAGATCAGGTTTCTCTTAATTGTTGACTTGTTTTTATTTCCTTTTATTTAATATATATCCATACTGGGGGAAAAAAAGAATTTACAAATAAAATTTAGTTTTTTGTTTCTTCATTCATGTATATCAGTAGATGATGTATTCAAGAATTAATTAGAATGGCATAAAAATTTATTTATGTATCTATTTATCTATGCACATGTAGTTATATAAGAAGGAAATAATAATACTTCAGGACATCACCTGATCATAAAGTCATAATACTAAAAACAAAGAACATGTTATAAAATAATTATACTTACATAGTTATTAATGTCACTTTGACAGTATATCATATATCATGTAAAGAGAGGGCATGTGTTAAAAATGAATATGGGCATTTATTTTTCTTTTTTAATTAACAAGTCAGCAAAATCTTGGGAAAAAATGATTTCAAAATATGACTTAGTTTAGTAGAATATAGGCAAGGCAATCTTCCATTGGCTGAGTCTTGTGTCATAATACACCATTGGGTTGAATTTATAAAGAAAGAAAAAATAGAGGAAGGAAGAAGGGGAGAATGCATTTTGGTTTTTAGAAAATAATGCTGCATAATCATTCCTAATACTTGAGTCTGTTGATCCCTCTGTGTGTGTGTGTGTGTGTGTGTGTGTAAGACAGTGGTAATATGTGTAAAATATATCAGGGAGCAAAGTATCATCAAAGTAAAATTCTGTTTGAAATAGAAGTTGATATTTCTATGTCGTTACACTCCTTCTCATCTTTTGCTTAGATTCAGTTTCAAATGGATTTCCCTTGCTGCCCCAAGTAAACAATGCAATTATGCAGTGAATTTTTAATGCATATATATGGGTCACATTGTATTAGAGATGTGATATTTTATACAGAGTTGTTCTTTCATCATTCCAATTCAATAAAAATGATGTACACACAATAATTAATATAATAAAACCAATTAAAAGGCTTTGGTAATCATACCATTCTTTACTTCCAAGCAAAGCCATGTATCACTTCTGTTAGGTTTCAAGTCAGTAGTAATTTTTTCCCTTAGTTATTGCTCTTAAAACTCTTTTATCATTGGTATTTTTTATATTGAATTTAGCCAGTTGGGTGAATCAATAAATTTCTATGGTATTTTGGCTCTTATATGCTGTTTACACACATCACTTTTAAAGAAAATTCAGCTTTTTGCTTTTTTTTTTTTATTTTTTTTGGTGTGCATATTTTATATATATATATATATATATATATATATATATATATATATATATATATATATATATATATATATATGTGTGTGTGTGTGTGTATATTGATGTAATAGGAAAGAACAGTTAGATTAATGATCCAAAGTTCTTTAGTATTTATGTTTTATTTTTAAAAAAACAGTGCTCGGTACAGAAGTAGGGCTTAAATTATAGTTATATTTTTAAAGATATGATTCCATCACGACACAGAAATTATGTTTTGAAACTTGACTCATGTCCTAAAGTTTAATTTCAATATTAAACTTAAAATTTAGAGTGCAGTTTCATTCTCAAGTGATGTGTAGAAAAACTAACTAAAGAAATGTTTTACTCATTTAAAGGTTGGAAATGAAGGTATAACCTGGAGTTTTTCTTTCTTGTCATCAAGGGGTCTCTACTTTGATGAAAGTATGACTGTTTATTATATATCAAATTTTTTGGAGTCGTGTAAGGTTCAGTTGGAGGAA